TTGTGCGTATATATGAAATCATTCGTGCATAGCACAAGTCACAGTCCGGCAGTAATTTTGAAAGCTATTAAAAACGTGTCGTTTTTTCAATTGTGACGTATGTAATCTAGAACTGTAATCTCGTTTTTTTCGTTATAAATTACAATTATAAAACGTATTTTGCAACGTGTTTATTACTCGATGCGTTTTATAATCGTAACGTGTAATTTTAATTGTAGATTCTTAATTTGCCGGGCTCTGGCACAAGTATCATTCAGTCAGATATTTCGTTTATCTAAGTTTGTTTGAGTGTAAATTGTTATTCTTACAAAAAGGTATACATTTCTCAATTATTTTAAATTTATTTATTTATGAAATTCAATACAAGTTATTTTCTTTTCTTGAAGATTCTTCAATTTCTTTTTTGAGAGAAAAAACTTAAAAATGGAGCAATTAAGAGAAACGTTGAACGAAGCAGCATATGACCAACCAACAATAAGTTCAACAATTCAACAAGATTCGCCAATTTGGAATGCAAAAGTCGATGCTCTCGAGTGTGTATTTGAATATTTGAATTTGAACGACATTTGTGCTATTGGTAAAACGTGTAAAAAATTACATTTAATCGCTGGCAACTATTTCAATTGTAACTATCCATCACAGAACTTGATTATCCGTGCTTGTAGGGATGAGATAATTCAAACGATGAATAATTTTTTTACGTACAATTCAACTACGAATTTTGGTCCGTTTACACAGCGACTTGAAGTTTATATCGACTCCGGAAATGAACTACCTTATGTGGCGAAAAATGTGAATAAAAAATTGAAAGCGATTGTTTTTTGTATGGGTCGTTGTCGAAATTTGAATTTGGAGTGTATAAAAGACATTCTAAAAAGTGTTGAATATATTGAGTTGAAGTATAAAATTTCAACAATGTCTCCACCGAATCTTAAATTTTGTGAAAATTTAAAATACCTCAGTTTGAACGTTTACAATTTTAATTTAATTTACAATCATCACTATCCCACTCTTGAAACGTTGGAAGTAAATTTTGATTTTGAAAAGTCCAGCTTTGAAGTAATTACGTTTCTTAAAATGAATCCACAAATTAAAAGATTATCAATGAAGGAGCTCGACACAGATCTTATGCTGCATATAATTAAGGAAGCCGAACCAAAGCTTGATATGCTGTCAATCTATATGTATGAGGGTGAAGTTGTTGAAATCAGTGAACGTTTGAATCCTTATCATGAGCTTGGTTATTTTAAACGTTTTTCATTTAGCGGAAATTTCTCATCATTTTTGAGTGACATACGTAAAGTTCCAAGTCTCTCTGGATTATTTATTAGTCACTATCGTGAACGTGAATCGAAAATTGATGAAATTAGTCACGGTCTTTGTGAAATGGTGAAATTAGTAGACTTAAATATTTCATATATAACATACAAAGAAGCCGACATTCTATCAAAGTGTTTGGTCAACATTGAAGAGATCAATTTATTCAATGGCTCTTTGCAACTATTGTCTCTTTTTGCTCGAAGATTACCAAAACTTAAATTAGCATCATGTTCGAAAACAATAGAATATTATGAAGATAACGATATAAATGTTAGTCTTAAGGAAATTAATGACGAACGTGCAAAACTGCCCAACGCACACAAATTAATAATTTATGTTGGAGATGATATGGTATTTCAACGTTTGAGATGGAAATTCATTGATTTAAATTTTAATTACTTGGAAATTCGGTCAATGTTACGGTTTTGTCATTACGAATAAATGAAATTCAGATAACTTACCATTAGTTAGAAAAATAACATCAAATAAAAATCATTTGAAAATCCAAAAAAGTGTTAACTTATTGATTCTTATAGTCTTATTCCCAATAATGTACTTCAAAGTTCAAAATACATCGAATCGAAAAAATGAAAGGTAATTTACATTTCTTGCACCTTATTGATAAAAAAAAAAGTTGGGTCGTGCAGTGTTTCAGCAAGATGTTTAGTTTCATCAAAAAAAATTAAAGTAAGTTATAATAAATTTAATTTGTTTCATTGAATTTATTAATTATTTTTAGATTTGCATTAGGTGAATTACATTTTTACTACATAACGATTCTATATTTTTTATTATTCGGAAAATTCAAGTGTCCCGAAATTTAAACTTGAAATATTGTCCAAACGAGTATAGTACTCTTTAAAATAAGTTGAAGTACATGTTTGGCACAACTGTCTAGGCCTAGTACCAAGTTTCGATTTTGACATGACCGGACAATTGAATATACATAATTATTTTTAAATTTACTTCAATAAAATTGAATGAGTTGTTTTTGTAACAAAATAAGCATTTCTTAACGTTAAATTGGATTTTTTCTGCCTGATCATAAATAGATCATTACTGAGTTTGTAAAAATAATTTTGTTGATTAATCAAAACTTGAGCAAAATCTAAACTAATTAATTCTTGAAATTATATTTATTCTTTAGTTATGTTTAGTAAGAGCAGACAATATATTTGAATTTTGTCATCTGGAAATTTCAGCTAATCTGGATAACGTTAGGCGACGATACGAAATAAAAACAATAGAAGTGATTGTTATAGTTATGGTAATATTTTTATACCTAAACAATACAATAAATTGATGACAAAATCCAATTGAAATAGTTGATCAGTCGTGATTCAATTTTAAAATGACTTAAAAATGAAAAACTGATTTTAAGCTCTATATATATTTCTAATGGTTTATTTCTTTTGCTGTTTTGGTGGTCTTTCATTCTCAATAGGTCTTCTGGCTCTATGTTTTCTTCCCGAAATTGACAATAAATTTTTCCAATTCCTTACAATCGAAGAGTCCACTTTGCTTACGGATAACGCTTGACAATTCGGCTGTTGTCATTTTATCAAACGGAATCATTTTGAAGGATTCGCCCAATTCAGCGCGTAAATGTTCCCCTTTTGTTTTATCGATATTTGATCGTTCACATGATTTCATCGCCCAAGACAAGCACACTTCGAAAATGTTGACAGGACTGTATTTTTCGATGCAAATTTCCACGATCTTCTTCACTGTTGCCGACGTACAATTATAAAAACTTTCTGTTTGAACTATTTTTAAAAAATGTACGTTTATCAGATCCGTACAGTAATTTAATAGACCGTCCATTTCTTTTTTATGTTCCGCAGCCAAAGAGTAGGTTAAACAAATATTATCAATGTTTGAATTGCGCTGCAAAAAACTGCAACAAATGTTGAACCATTCTTTAACTTCAAATCGCTGTGCCAATGCCAATGTACCGCTTAGATGAGTATGTGTTACAAATACGTAATCCAGATAAAATACTTGGAGAAATTCCTTAAATAGCACCACTGAAAAATCGACGATCGGTATCTCATTTTCTTGTTTTTGGCAACCGTAAAACATATTTTCAAACAAAACAGAACCCATGGCCAGTAGAAATTTATGCGCTGGAACTGTTTCACTTTTACCATTTTCATGAATCATAAAATGAACATCCGCCTTTTCTTCGTTTAAATAAAGTGCTTTTATTTTTCTGGACCTGACTGTCTGGTTGACTAATATTTGATTTGGTTCGTTTATGGTTTTTATTGACATTTTTAAAATTCAGACAAATATTTCGTTGTTTTCTGCTTGGATTCTATGGTGATACTGAAGTACTCAGTATAGTTTCAAGCTTATCGTCGATGAAACTGTTTCATTACATTGCTATTTTCCACGTTTCAATTTTCAAATGTATTTACTATATTGCATCTCAATGAAGACTGAAACAAATAATTTAAACACCGTGACCATAGATGCTCAGACTTGGAAATTAAGGAGGGGAGGGATACATTTTCAATTTTTTTGGGAGTAATTTTATTTGTTCTGTTCACGCGATTCAACTGATTTCGTTCGCCATGAAGGCTTCATTAGTATCGCCTGAATACGATAAATAAAATAACAAAACACAGATAATATGGAAAAGCAAATTAATCATTTTATCGATTTCTTTCTTTACTTGTTTTGATTATTTAGTTTAAAATATTTAGTCTGTGTTTTGTTTATCAATTTTAAATTATGCAAACATGTTCAAAAAAAATATTTTTCACTTTTCAAAGGAATACCGGAGAATATATGAGCATGAGTAGTGATCGTGACAATTCGTGAAGATCAATGTCCAAATTCAATAACAATTTCTCTTTGCTTTTCATATGACACAAATCTTACACATAACATATTATTATTTTTATTATTACGATCACTTTTTACGACTTCAGACACTATAAAACATATAGTTTTTTTTTTCTTATTTTTCACTTCATGTACTTCTCTGACTTTAAACGGACCATTTTTTTCATTTGCAGTGTCGAGGTTTTTAGTGCAGAAAAATGTTTCATTTTCGTCCATGTGTCAATTGAGATACTTTAGAATGTTCACGATTTCTTCTCCGATCGTTCTTCATAATGACCATATCAATGGAACGAATTCATAAATTTAATTCTCTGAAATATTCATTATGCTATAAAAGTTCTCACTTTCAAGAGAATGATATCATTCAACGGCTTAACTATGAAATAATTAATCGTATAAAGACATTCGGTCAAAGTCATATGAAGAAAACTTCATGGTTTGTTCAATTATTAATAACTATGATTCAATTTATGTGCCGAGCTGTATAAATTTTTAATTTTTTTGGTCATCGGTGGTGATTTGTTCGGTTTGTTGGGAATATTAGAGCTAAGTGTCATTAAATTCATTTATTATTGTACTTTACTTTTTACCATTCGAATTTGGAATCAAATATACCTACTATTTCTCAAACATTATGAAATAAAAAAATGATTAATGAGATTTTGATTCAAATATAAGTACGAACTATTTCTTTGTTTTGTTCTCATTTGATAATTGCCATTTCATCCCGAAACTAGTCAAATGGAAAGTGTTGCTGTTTAGCTGATTTTGGTAGCGTTAAGTTTTGACCAATTAAAATAATAAGATCATTAAAAATCCTTCAGTGAATTTATTTAATTGATGTATTTATTTTTATTTATTGATAATAATACAAAATTACATGAGAACACCAATTCTTATATCTAATTTTTTTCATTTTTACTTTTCCGCACACACCTAGTGTGAAAGGGGAAAGTATTGCAATAGGTCAAAATTTACGAAACCTCAAAAACATGTTTTCTGGACGTTTCTGAGGTCAGAGAACCCGAATCAGGCCGTTTTGAGCATAGTTGTTGTGGGTCGCTTCCACGTCGTACGTCGTGACACTGACTTAAACACTCAAAAATATCCGACGTTAGTTTTGAGATACAATTAATTTTTAATACAGTTTCCTTGAAAAAATCACAAAAAATTTGGATTTTTGTATGGGAGCCATGCCTGTATGCTACCTTAATGACGTGAAACTTTGCACAGACTATTTTTTACACAAAAATATAACATTCTGAAAATTTGAAGAGATTTCAATTAAAATTAGGGGTACCTCCCATACAAAATTTTCAATTGGCTCAAAAACGAATATTTTGTATGGGAGGTACCAACCGGCTAAGCCTATGAAGAGACAGAATGCGTAATCTCCTCATTTATGCCATCTTGTTTTCCATAGTTGAACTCAATTTTGTTGCACTGCATTGAATCGAAAAAGAGAAAAAAACAACAACAGTAACATGGCCACATAGATCTGTTGACCAGTGAGATACGTATAACAATGGAATGAAAGAATGAAGAAAGCGTATATGTGTATGTATGCATCAGCACGCATAGATGTACAGCTCTGTGTGGCCGTGCTATTGTTGTTGTTTTTTCTCTTTTTCATTTCAATGCTACAGAATTAAATTCAGTTTTTCGATCTAATTCGAACTAATGTGAGGTGGCGCTGATCAGCTGCGTTCGCATAAAAAAGTTCCCAATCTCATATACGCCATTCCCGCTTGGGAGGTACTCTTAATTTTAGTTGAAATTTCTCCAAACCCTCCGAATGTTATTTGTAAAAAAAATAACCTGTGCAAAGTTTCACGCCATTAAGGTAGAATACAGACATGGCTCCCATAGAAAAATCCAAATTTTTTGTGACATTAGTTATGAAAAGTGTTTCAAAAATAATTTTTATGGCAAAATCAGTCTATGTATTTCGGATGGATATCCATCCGAGATATTTTAGAATATCTGGATATTTAACGCAACTGCACAGAGCCAGAGCTGTGTGCGTCGCACATATAATCTACGGTATGTCGCTACACGTAAAATACAGACACAGTGTGACTGTGTACGTGCGGCACTTGATAGACATAAACGTCGCGACATACCGTAGATTCTATTTACGACGCACACAGCTCTGGCGCTGTGCAGTTGCGTTGAATATCCAGATATTCTAAAATATCTCGGATGGATATCCATCCGAAATACATAGACTGGGCAAAATTAACGTCAGATATATTTTTATAGTATTTTGTTAGAAAATAGAACACTTTCAAATGTCGTACAAATGGTTTCATCATGAAAGTGTGAAAAATCTTTTCTCGGGTACTTCTGCTATTAAATTAAAGAATAGAATATAAGTTGAATCATATTTTTTGGTCTCGAACTTTACGCCGCTTGAAAGACTTGAAAAATCGAACAAATATTATTTTGAACTTTCTTGATAAAATACGCAACTACCACCGTGCGGAAAAGTTCGTCTTACTCCCGTAAGACTCTTTATTTCTTTCTAAATTTCGGTCATGTTTAGCTCTCTCATTTTTATCTGCGAGTACTCTATAGGCATTATTTATTTTTTTACACATTTCTTCATGTTCTTTTTTTTCGTCGTTGGGTGCGTATGGATGCTTATCAGGATGGTGACACAGTGCAAGTTTTCTGCGAGCTTTAGTAATTTCTTCCAAGGTGGCACTCTTTTCGACATCCAATATATCATAATAGTTTGGATCTTTGGATTGGTAAGGTTCTAAAGCTTTTTCTGTCCTGTCATATAAAACTGAATCAAATTCATATTTTTTGAGCCGCTTTAAACTCTTTAGATCATCAAGACATTTTGAATATAATTTCAAGTTGCTGTAACATTTTGCGCGAATTCCTAAGCTACGAGTATGGTGCTGGTCATTGTTTATCAATTTTGTGCATGCGTCAATTGCATCTCGATACTCGTTACATTCGAAACACGCAGAAGCATAATTGCATATTAAATTTGAAATATCAACGCTGTCAATTGGATTGGATTCAATTGCTTTTCTTAAGAATTCTCTGGCCTGTTGATACCTTCTCTCATTCAGTAAGTGGTTGCCTGTATTGAAACGATATTTTATTTTTTAAAAAATACCAAAAATATAACGTAATGTTTGTTACCTCTTGCTTCAAATTCTTTAAACTGTTTTATTTGTCGTAACATTGATCCAGCCTTGACATGATTTGGATCTAAAAGAAGCACATTTTTTAAATTTCTCTCTGCCTTTTTCCAATCATCTTTGAACGCACACAGTGCTTGAAGATATTCGACATCGTTTTCTAATGCATCAGATGTAAACAATTTGGCAATTTTCATTGCTTCCTACAATAACAAAAGAATGCATTAAAAACTATTTTTTTATCATTATATTTTCAATAGTATACCTCAAAATTGCCGGTTAGTGCAAGACATTCTCCTTTCAATATCTTTAGTTTTGAATCTGCAAAGGCAACATCTAATGCATTCTCAACATATGTCACTATAAAATAAATGAAAAAAAGTACGGATATGGAAATGAAAATGATCAATTTTTTTAATATAATTTTTTCACTTACATGACATTTTGAAATTTTTTGTTTTATAATACTCATCTGCTTTTTCTTTGAATCTTTTTAAATTTTCTATTTGGGATTTATGTGCATCATTTTTCGTTGCGAATTTAGCACTTTCTGAAATAAATTTTTCTGCGTTGGTGACATCGCCAACATTTATAAAACATTTAATCATTTGATGGAAATCTTTTGTCGAAATGGTTGTCAATATGGATTGGAAATCTGTCACAGCCGCTTTATATTTGCCAAGTTTCATGTAACAATTTGCACGATTACTGCAAAACAAAACATTCTCCGGCCACAAGTCAATAGCTTGGCAATAAAAGTTCAACGCTTCGTCAAATTGATTTGCCGACATCTTTTGTTCTCCCAAACTATTCATGTTTTTTGCATTTTTGTGGTTTACCTCATCTTTCATTTTGTTTATTTTTGACCTGATTTCGTCACCTATTTCTGTGTTTTTCTGTGGAAAATGTTCCAGAATAACTTTTATCGCCGTCTCGTAGTCTTTGAGTGATTCTTCAAATAGCTCAAGACAACAATAACAATCAGCTCGCAGTAACAGAAAACCGTAGTAAGGGAATTCGAACCTAAATTGAATATCTAATGCTCTGGTACAGTCTGCAATAGCACCATGGAATTGAAAAATGTGTCTTCGTGATTTGGCACGATTCTTCAGCAAATGGACTTCAATCGATCTAATTATAATCACTCCACTGTCAAGTGCTTCCCCATAAAAATCGGCAGCTTCATTAAACCTTTTTTTGTGAAACCTTTCATCGCCTAAAAAATAAATCACAAGCACAATTCAGCATTTTGATTTTTGAATATACAGTCACTCACAAATTTATTAGTACACCACGGCTAAATGTTAAGAAAGTCGAACATTTTATAAAAAATGTGACATTTTTGCTTCTTATATTTTACATGGCCTCTTTTGGCTTGAATGACACCCAGAAACGTCCATTTAATTGACAAGCTTCGGTATGGTTTGATCACAATAAATGGCACATTTTTCATATTTAGCCGAAAAAAATGTTTTATTTTTAATTTTATGTGAATGCAGTAACCATTTAGCATTCCATTGAGGATACCTTTTTGTATTTTCTCGATTACTATTTGCATCCGTTGCGAATATGTGTGATCCGGATCAATTTTTTGGCCTTCTTTTAAATGCAATATTGCTTCTTCAAAATTTTCTTTGTATAAAGAGTAAAGGCTTTTGAGATAACATTTATCAGCTTTTGAGAGGCCCTTTTCGTTTTCCATTTCTTTTAATTTCTAGCATTTTTTGTGAAATAAACAATTTTATTACAGAAAATTCCAAACGATCACAATATATAATGATGTATACCTTTATATTGCGAGTATTTATGCAACACTCTGCTTTCAAAATTTTGAACCTCACACTATCCGGAAATGCTTCCAAGCCTTCTATTGCAAAATCGACTGTATAATATAGGGATAGTTGAATAGATTTGTATGAAATAAATGTCATCACGACTTACGTGCGGAATAATACATATGCAGGTTTCGACGATAGATATAATTTTTTTTCAGATTTCGCAATTTTATACTTAATTCTTTCTTTTCGTTACAAAAGTTCTCATAAGACTTATATTTTTCGAGTATTTTGATTGATTCATCGGCATTTGTATAGTCGCCAAGAATTAAATAACAGCTTGCCATTTGTTCATAACTCTTTTCGACACTTTTGTCTATTGAAATAGCACGTAGACAATCTCGAAGTGCCCGATTGTATTCTCCTTGTTTCATCAAACATGCGCATCGATTATTGTAGTAAGCGACATTTTGTGGCCACAATTCAATTGCTTTTGTATAACAATTTTCGGCAGAAAGGTAATTTTGCGAGCCCAATTGTTGATCTCCGCGTTCGTTTTCTTTAGCAGCTTGCTTCTGTTTGATTTCATTACTCCAGTTTTCTAACTTTGATTTTACCTCGGCCAATTTCATACTATCGCTACGAATCGTTTCATTGTTTTGTAAAATTTCATAGTCCGAAATAGATAATTCAATTTTATCCAAATAATGATTGCATTGTGCACGGAGAGCTCTGACATTGATATCGTCAGGATTAATATCTAATGCTTGGCTACAATCGCTTATTGCTTTACAAAAGTTTCCAACTTTTGAATTAGCAAGCGCACGATTCTGTAGCAAATCAAAAGTTGCCAAGCTGTTAATGGCTGGTTTAATGTCTAGTGCTTCCGTGTATGTGTCAATAGCTTCGTGATATTTTTTATTTTCAATCAGATGTTCACCTACATACATAAAATACCAATATCAATAAAAGTAATATTTTCTATGATTTGTATTGAATTTAAACAAAATGTCCTTACTTGCGGTCATAAGTTTTTGCAAATTTTTAACATTAGTTCGCATCTCATTGACATTCGTGTGATATGTGTCAGATTTTTCGAGCATTGACTTCATTTTTGTCGATGTGGCTTTGAGTTCAAGTAAATATAGTCTCAATACCAAATGAACGTCGGTGTCATTCATTTTCTGGCAATATCCAAGGAAATATTTCAAATCCTATAGAAATAATAATAGTATATAACCTGAGACGCATAATTCTGAAACTTGTATTAGTGGATGAGCAATTTCATCGATTTGTATGGTCAATCATATCTTTAAAAAAATATTTACGCGCTGTATGCCAAAATAAAAATTGAAGTTAAAAAAATGTTGAGTATGATCGAAATTCAGTGTCGAACTGTAAAAAATATTTTCGAGAATTAGGGAGAATAGCCATAATTGTTGAAACCATAAAGAAGTCATTCAGTTCATTTGGTATAGCGATATGACTATTCGTCCACATAAATTGAATTTCAAATGACCTTTTTTTCATAGTTTCCCAAAGGGGGTGGGTTTTTTTTCTCAACGCTCATTTCGAATTTTTGTACCGGAAATACATCTTTAGAAAATGGTCACTCTTAATGTAATTTTTGACGCTCTATCGATTGGCATCATTATTTTTTTACCCTGGCCCAGACCCCGCCCTCCCCCTTTATTGTCGTTTTATTTCTCTGAAAATTTGACCCGATGCTGAAGGGCTTTGGGATGGAAAAACACCCCCCCAATACCCCCAAACTCAAGGTATTTTTCATTTACCAATCGATTGGTATCTCTTTATACCCCCACGGGGTATTCTGGTTTGGAACCTTCCAACCCCGATTTAAGGTCCTAGAGGTCGAAAAAAAACCCATGACCCTTCACCCATACCTGGGGTATTTTTCAGTGCCTATTGAATTTGCAAGGTTTTTGAGACGTGGAAAAATCTTCTGATTTGCTAGGGATTTTCACCGAAAAAGTGATAAATCAAAAAATATTTTCGAAAAATGTCCTCTTTTTTTATTTGCCTTGCATTGCCTCTGTCAATGACAATATCCCCTTGTATTTAATAAAATTGGATATGTATACACAAAGCATGACGATAAGGCAAAATTGCTTGCCAGCGCCACCAAATGACTCCATATGATTCTATATAGTTCTGCGGTTGCCAGCGGCACTAATCTCTAATAGAGCGTTGCCGAGCTGTCATTATCGTCGTGCTTTGTGTATACATAATTGGATAATACAAATATTTCATAAAATACCTCAATGTGTTTTATAATTTCATCAAAATTTGCTGAAGTAACACTTGTCGATTCTGAAATTGATGATGAATTTTCATTTTTCGGTTCTGGAATTGAAAAAAATATACAATTTTAGATTAGGAATAATTAATTTACTAATTATATAACCATACGGTATGGTTTATATAAAACATTTTTTGTTGAATTTGATATTGTTATAATTTGTTATTAAAATATCAGTTATGGTGGATTGATCTAATAATGTTGAGTTTTCAGCAATTGTTCACAGAGAGAAAAAATGTTGTATTTTTAATTCAATTTTGGTAGATTTAATATAAAATCAACCAGCAACGAATTAAATTTACCATTTTTGACATCTCTAAGGCATATTTTTCAAAAGATACTATTTGTTGAATAAGTTTTACCAATTGCTTCATTACATTCACCAAATTCATGGGCTAGCGTCATCTGTGGTTTCGAAAAGTTGGTAAATGTAATAAAGCAGTTGGTAAAACTTATTCAACAAATAGTCACTTTTGAAAAATATGCCTCAGAGATGTCAAAAATGGTAAATTTAATTCGTTGTTGTTTGATTTTATATTAAATCTACCAAAATTGAATTAAAAATACCACATTTTTTCTTTCTGTGTAGTAGCACTTGTTGTTGATGTATTAGCTGACGTACTTGGACCTATTGAGCTTGTCGTCTTTGCTGGTGGATTAGAAGTTAAATATGGCACTGAACTTCCAGAAACTACAGTTGTCGCACTCGTTGTTAGTGGTGTCTTGAAAAAGAAGTTACTTGTAGTCGTTGATGTAGGGTTAGAAGTTGAAAATTGCGCTGAACTTCCCGAAACTGTAGTTGTCGC